TGCTTCCTACAGTGTCATCTTGAGCCAGCCCAGTTTCTCTTTCAAGTGATGAACCTTCCATTTTTTTTTTCAAATCAGGCACTGGATATTTCAATTTCAGAAGCAAAATCAATTTCCTAATCTCCATTATCCCCTCTCTGCCGAGCAACTCTCCCAAGACCAGGGACCCCATCTCTAACAAACTCAGGGATTTCTGTCTGTTCCCTGAGGACTCTGTGATCCCTCAGGAGAAGACTACTGCCCTCCCCTCACCAATTTCAGAAATCTGCGGGAACACTGTGCAGCATTTGCCATAGGAAATCAAGGATGAATTTACAAGGCACCAGCTAGTTTAACAAGGAAAGAGATGAGAGGCCCAGAAGGGTACTCTGAAGTTTGGACTTCATGTAACCTAGAATCTACTCATATTGAAGGTTCTTAATAACATTAATAGAAAAAAAGATGTTCGATCAGTCTTTTCTTTCCTATTTCCTTGCCTGTACAGGACACGTAAAAGTGACCAAGTGACTGAAAGTGACTTCTGCCAAGTGGGACAGGGCTAATGTTCTGACCACTGGGAAGGATTTATCTAGTATTATGTAGCCTCCATTTCTGCTTACATTCATCATCCTGTGGTGTATGTTAGCACCTAGAGTAAAGCTGTAAATTATAGCTTACAGCGATCGCTGGGTAAAAATGCAGTATACATTTCTTGAGCAGTTCCCCTTTTCTTTCAAAATATTGATTCTAAATAAAGTCACAGTACCCTAAATACATACTGTATAGAAGTGCATCGATCTGTGGGAAGCAATGGAACAAGAAGAGGTTAATGCCACAGTAAAAATGAAAAAACAAAAACCCCAATGTTTTAGCTATTGAGCCTTTTTCAAAGACCTTCCACACCTGAAGAGAAGACTGAGCAGACAAAAACTTGCTTTCTACTCTTCAGCATGGAATCAGTTTCTGCCACTTCCTCCAACAATATATATATATTTAAATCCTGCTGCCTTTTTCATTTTCGTCGTTCTGTCTATGCCAGGGTGGTGTGTCCCAATAAAGAAACAGCTGTTCACACTGCTAAGATTGACTTCCTGTGTGCAAAAAGGCAGAATGTGAAGCTGTAAAACCGTGCACCTGCTGTAGCACTGTGATCAGAGGAGAATAATATTCATACCCATAATTCAATGCAACCGCTCTCAATGCCAATACAATCCTGAAGGGTGTTACTTCTAAATAAAGTGTGTGAGAGCATCTATATTACATTTAATTATTCGCTCCAAATATACATCCAGGATTTTCCAAAACAGGTGAAAATAACTAATTGTCATAAAAATATATATTGATTATATATCGCAATTTCAGAAAAAGCATTGTTAAAAAAGTCACTAAATAAAAAGCCTACTTGCTGAAATTAAATATTTCCCCAAAGCTTAATGCCTTATAATTATATTAAACCTAATCCCTCCAAAAAACGACCAAAACAAGACCGATGCCACTGGAAATCAATGTACTATATCAGTGCCATGTTACACATGGACGTCTTTGTCATTTTGATGTAATTTAAGCACGGGAATTTGAAACCTGGTGAACGCATTACCATCCGTCACCACCGCCGATTCCAGTTTTCCACGCTTGTTCAGCTTTATCGGGGATCTCTCGAACTTCTGACAAACCTGAGAGGCAGGAATCCACGTCAGACGTGCCACAGAGCTCCCCTAGGCAGGCGAGGACCGCTGCCCCAGAGGAGATCTTTGCCATCGGTGTGGGACTCCTTTCGTAACGACGATCAAAGCAGATGACGGGAATTAAGAAAAGCCTGGAATAAAACTGAAATAGAAATAGAATGCGATGGCCTGGGCAGAGCCTAATGACATTGCTCGTCAGCAAAACCTACACCAGTGTAATGAGATCCAAGCCCCTGCAGTTCCTTCTCTTGCTCTTCGGATCGGAAGAGATCGCGAACGAGGAGGCCCAGAGCTGCAGTGACGATGGATTATTTTTCCCCCAGTTTGTACTTGCGATCCGCCAGTTTGAATCTCCACTCTCTGTAGAAATGCAGGCTCAAAGGATGCTTCGCGCTGTCCAATCTGGTGTCGACACAACATTCCTGACTGGGCCACTTGGGAGCACAGAGCTGGACAGCTTGGTTGGGGGGCACACAGAGGCCTCAGCCGCCTGCTCTTCGCCCGAACCGGCACTTTAATCTGACCTGGGACGGGCGACACAGCCCACGCTGCCAAGACACTCTCACAAGAGTCGCCCCCCCCCCGGCGCAAGTGCCACCCAGGGAGCAGAACGATCAGGGCCAGCTGTCACCTTCTTAGCAGGTGCCTTCCCTTAATATGCCGTCCTAGGTTCTCAGCAGGTCTTGCAGTCTTGTTCCATGTCCCCCTGCAGGACTACCCTGCAGCTAGCTCTTTGACTATAAAATTGTTGTGGGGTTAAAAACTATCCAGCAACAGAGGTAAAGGGTGGAGCCACACCTTAAGCAGCTCTGATGAAGGCCTTTGGTCTGGTTCCTCTGCTTGTCCCAATCACTCTTGGCTCAGTTAGTCTCCTTAAGGTATTCCGGGTCGGGCTTTGGATCGGGCCCTGGTTTGGCAGGGCAGGCTGGCGGTCTGGGGCCAGCAGTCTCGACTATACGGTCGTGCCGAACATCGTCTCCTCCAGGTCTTGCTCGTCCATGTCGTCCTCGCTGAGGGAGAAGTCCCTGTGGTTGGCCATCCGCTCAGGGCTGCAGTTGATCTCCCCGTCCGCCAGCGGGGGGCTCCTGGCCGCCTCGCCGAGCCCCGCGACGGGCCCCAGCCTCTCGGCCTCGGCCATGTGCGCGAGCATGTTGTCCAGCAGGGGGCGGCTCTTGCAGATGTTGTCCAGCAGCCGGCAGCGGTGTCTGAGCTGCCCGATCAGAGCGTCCTTCTCCTTCACGAGGTTCTGGAACCTCTGGATGGTCTCCTCGGACTTGCACAGCTTCTCGTGCAGGAAACTGATCTCCCTTTGAGAAACACAAGCGACACAGGCGGTCAGTCCCCCGCACGGGCATCACCCATCCAGCTCACTACTAAACCAGCAATCTCTGAAAACCCGTCAAAAATGTCTTTGGAAAAAGAAATCACCAGCCCTGAAGGACGAGGGTTCCTCAAACAGATTTCTTGCTTAATTGATCAACAAGTCACAGCTGTTTCCAATTTTAGGAAACAGGTGTATGGGCTGGCCCTACTGAACTGGAGCTCTCCAGGACCAGGGCTGGTGGGAGACCTCCCACCCAATTATTAAAATGATTTGCTTAGCAGATACCCACAGTGTGAATTCAACCCCATTAGTAAACAGAAAGCACTGCCTTGAAATCAAATCTATAGTGTCATTTGCACTCCACTTTATTTAAGAATTTTAAAAAACAACTTGGAATGTGTAGAAATACAAACATCTCAGCTATTCAACTATTGCATGTGTAGAAATACAATAATTCCAGCTATTCAGTGTTAATTTAGATCCTTAAATGGGGAGTTTCTGACCTGTGTTGCCTTAATAGTCAAAAGAACATAAACGCAGTACATCAAAACTGAAGTTTCAATACTGTAAGTGTAATGATGAACGGTTTATGAAATATTACTTATAATACTTAATAGTTATTAACTAGTGCAAAAAAGGTTTTCTTACACCAATAACCCCAAACATCTAGAATAACTTCCATGTCAGAGAGTAGTCAACTTATGCCTTCTGCACACACTAAATTATCATCTATAAATGCCAACAAATATTGAACTCCTCGGAGGGTCTGCGGTATATCAGCGACGACAAACTAACCATCAGGCTGGCAAAAGGAGATGGACATCGGGACACGTTACACAGAGAAACCTGTGCGGCCACTGTGGAAGACACAGGGGTGAACCTGTACAATTCCAGGAGCGATTACAGCCCAGGGGGAGTATCTGCTGTATCTCCAGGGTTAGTGGCCACGGACTGATGGTCTATGTGCAAAAAAGCGCGGAGTGGATTCAAGCAGATTGTGGCTTCGAAATGTTAGAGGTTTACGTCTACTTAAAAGCTGAAAAACGACCAATTCCACAAGGCAGCAGGCTGCAGGGTTACGCTGGAGAGAGGCGAAGTGTCAGCTTTTCTGGTAGGAGGGGGGACAGCTCATTACGCTGCAGAAGTGGACAGATGAGTTGTACAGAACTTGCACAGAAAGGACGGTCGGCCCTTGTGCATTAGAAATGAACCAATTGGCAGATTTCATTGCTCAAATACGAACCCTGATCCCTGACGTACTCGGCTTCACAAATCTAAAACACGATCCTGGGGAACCGAGTTCCGAACAACGTAACGTTTAAACAAGATTGAGAACTTTTCAAATTCCGCGGCGGGGGAGACAGAGACGTTCTGATCATCATCATCATCATCATCATCATCGTCGTCACCGACCTTCCGTGGTGCGGGAGAGAAGCGACAAGCTAACGACCGCTGTCCTACCTCTCCTTGGCCTCCCTGATTTCCTGAGTGGCGGCCCGGAGCTGCTCGTCTTTCCGGATCAGGCTCTCCGCCTGCTCCCGCACCGTGTTCTCCGCCGCCTCCAGCCGCCTCTCCAGCTCCGACACCCGCCTGTGCACCGCGGCCAGGTGCGCATTGGCCTCCTTGATTTGGACCGGAGACGGCAAGGACATGGCATTCATGCACCGGACGTCTTTAGTGGAGGGCACCCCCACAATATTTACAACGCCAAAGCCTCCGTTTCGCTGTCTTGAGCCCAAGTATTCCTGAGCCCTCAGCCTCCGGACACAGACAGCCTGCACCCAAGTGCCCTCGCTCAGCCTGTCCTCCTGGACTGAAATCTCTTCTTATCTCATCCCCCAAGACTCGCTGGGCTGCTGGGACAGCTCAGGTTATAACATTGCACGGACTCCTGCAGGATGCAGGTGGAGATCTGCGTGCAAACCGCATAGGTTGCTATAAAGGTGGAAAAAGCGCATCGCATTTACTGGATGCTCTCCTAGTGACAGTCCAAGACGCACTACGGAACGACCCAGGTCTGTTCAAATCACAGGCACGCTGAATTGCAAAACTGCACCTGTCTCCTGTTACAAGAGGACTGCATTATCCCTGATTAGCCACGTTTATTAGGTTCCGCAGAAGTAAGGCGTATCGTCACCGTCATCCTTGCGAGGAACTCACTACACGGCTGCGAATATTTTTTTTTTCCGGCGTCGCAAGTAGTTGGCGATTAACTTCGCAGGAGTCCCAACTTGCCCTAACTTCTCCTGCTGTAACCTGTGGATCTCGCGGCGACTCCGGAACCAGAAGCCGTCGCGTTCCTGCCGCGTGAGGTGGGAGACGGCCTCTTGTGCGCCTGTGCGGAGCGCGGGTCGGGACGGAGTGAAAACACCGCGCATGTCGCTTGGGCCTCCTGCCTAATTTCATTAACCGCGTCCTCACGACGCCGGAGTCTTAAAACCTCCAAAGTCTTTTAGCCCTAGACTGTCTGAAACCGTCGTCCTATTCTTGGCAACAGTCTAAATCTGTAAAACTAACAACAGCCATGTTCTCTCTCTCCCCCCCCACCACTTCCTATCTCCATATACAAGATTCAAAAAGTTTACTTTTCCTGGACAGCAACAAATAATAATAATAAAAAAAAACGATTCATTAACGAATTGTGGTTAATCCAGATTCCTTACCATTCAAAAACTGCATTTAAACCCGTGCATATTATAGCCAGTCTTCAATCGGACAGAACAATAGCGACGCCCTTTTAAAAACTTTTTTTTTCTTACATGTTACAACTTCCTAAGCAAGTCTGGGTATTAAAAGCCGTTTAGGCAGATTTGTGACTGTGTGCATGGTTTTCGGGCTTTGTGTCTAGATTAGGCGGATGCATATGTTGTGGCTGTTGCTGAGACAGATGGGGGAGAAACTAATCTCCCGGTTTATCGCTAAATCCCCTTGTTTCTTGGCTTGGCAGCACAGTCGGCCTGCTCGGATCTGGAGCTGTTCGCGCGCAGATCCCCCGACTCTCCGCTGGCTCGCACGCGTCTCGCAGGGGAGATCGGATCCGATCAAAAGTGATCGATCGGTCATATCGCTCCTCCCGCTGGCAGCCGCCATGGTGGCGGGGGGTGTTCAGGATTATTTAATTTATTTAGGTGATGCCTTAATCCAGAGCCTTGCACATTTAGATCCATTTTATACAACCGACCGTCTTAGAAGTTCAGTACGTGGGTCAAGGCCACCAACAGCAGCGTCCCACTCGCGATTTAAACCCACGGCTCTTCCTTGTCAACTCCAGAGCTCATCGACCTCCGAATAGTAGCATTTCAGCCTGATTCGGCTAGAATCCCTGCCTAGTTCTCCAACTTAAATGGCTAAAGAAATATTATTTTTGCAAAACAAATATTTCCAAGACTGCATTTAATGTTCACTTTTGGGCTAATATATTCTCAACGCCATTTGTCCGACAGCAGTGTGGCATGGCAATAAATCCGCGACTGGTTTATCTCCATGAACACGTTCTACACAGAACTTACAAACTCCAAACGTCGGTAAATTCTGTTGTAAAATGCAACAGAAAAAAAATGATCTCTTGTGTTACTTTACAAGAAATTATTACCTTGACAGGAGAACATCTTCGGCTTCAGGCAATCTTACACGCCTAAGAAAGCGCTTGCTTACAGTAAATGGGCAAAGTCCTCAGAAGACAGCCCTCTTTCTTTTAATCATCTCTTTACTTTTATGGCGTCGTTTTTTAGACTTCTTGAGTGGGATACACAAAGATGCCTTATAAAAAGTTACGTTTGGCTATTCAGTAGACAATATAATTTTACTGTAGTCTATGCAACTGCACCATAGAGAAATGCAATACGGTGTAAAATAAGAAGTCATCGGAATGGGTTATTTTTCTTTTAAATTGAGCTTTATTCAATTGTGTATCAGTTTGCAGATTAAAGCCACAAGCAGGCAGGTTTATTGTTTAGTGACAGCTTGAAAATGTAATATAATTTAGATGGTAAAAATTGTAATAAATCATAATTTTCGTAAAAATAGCATATAATTATCAAACAACCAATAAAACACGAGATGTTTCCAGTAATGATCATACTAAGCGAACATGGAACAAGGTAATGCTTTTTTCATCCAAATATCAAAGATTTATAGCACAAGATATTTTCATTAACTCAAGGAATAACTTCAAAGTGATATGTATATTTAAGATCGCACTTAGCACCATCAACGGAATAAGTAAAATGTAAAAAATATACAATACACATTTTGTGCATGTGGGGTTTTAATAATAGTTACGTATTCAATGTCGCTTTGTAGATCTGTGCGCTCTGAGCGGCGCTCCCTCTGGTGGATAGCCTAGGTTTCTGTTCTTGCCGTGTAACCCCGAGCTGCTAATAAAGTTGTAATGGGAACCTCTGGCATTGTGAAGTCTCGCGATAGTTGGTGTCCTGGTGCCCTTGTTCGTGGATCCAAAATGGGTTACTGGGACCTGCAGGACGGCAAGGACTGTGTCCAGAAAACATGGATCACTACTAAACTGAGCGCTGCCTTGGGTGAGCTGGGCATGTCACGGAAGCAGTAACCGTGCTTTGAAATGGTGTTTCTCGAAACAGCGGCACGGTGGTGGGAAAGATAAGACTTTATGGAGGTGGCCTAGCTTGAAGCTGGAATCATTATAAACTAGAGATTAAACGTCTTTTGAGTAACGAGAGAGTTAACAATTGTATTTTCCTTTGTTAAAAATGTTTTCATGACCCACTAAGCATTATTTAAGGTTATTTTCACAAAAGTAACCTGTCACTCTTGCAGGTTGTATGGTTCTCTTCTTTAACCACTGACAGAGGCAGTTATCGCATCTTTAGTTTCCTACATAGCACTAAGTTTCCCACTGGTAATTTATATACGGGAAACGATGTGGGGCTGATGACAGAAAGGCTTGTTGAATATCAAGGACCGTACCAGATGTGAATTTTATTTTTTTTCCAGCAGATGTGAAACATGGCGGTTTACAGAATTGCTTTAGAAGTGAATAAATTCACTTCTGTTAATGTTGTTGCTGTTTAATGAGCCCATATCATTAGAAAAGTCAATAGCAGAGCAATTCTTATTTACAGTGATGATCTAGAGAGTCCCTGTCTGTACAGCAGCGCATTTCCTGCAGAAAGTTCAGCGCTTGCTCAAGAGTTCAGCTGCAGAAGTGCATCCTTCTTTACTGTGCGGTTGTCGGGTTGGTGTAGCTGTAGTTAACTGTTGTGGAGATAACTGTTGTATGGTGCTGTTTTTATTCTAGGCCTGGTTGGTTCAGCTTATCACATAATAGCATTTCAGCCTGATTCTGTTATCAAGGCAATAGAGAGAGCAACAGCTGCGACAGTCACAATGGGTAAGTGCTTCCTTTCTGCTCCTTCTTGCCTGGGATTAGGTGCTGAATTTGGGAAAGGCCACATGTGAATAATTATGCTGCTTTCAGGATTATACAGTAGTGCTAGTACACTGTCATTATAGGTATAGGATTGCCATGTGTGCTGGTCCGTTTTGGGTGCTTTAAATAATAGCAATTTCTTAAATTATATAGCACTTTTCTGGACACTCCACTCAAAGTGCTTTCCAGGTAATAGGGTCTCCACTCCACCACCACCACTGGATGATGTGACGGCAGCCAGTGTGCACCAGTCC